AAGGCAAGGATTATCAAGGGAAAGGAGAAAAGACCTTGAAGGCATGTCAGAGATCTTCGAGGCTACCTCTTCCATTACAGGCCCAGAGGCCTAGGGAGACAGAATGGTCTTGGAGAACAGGCCCAAGGTGCCCTCCATGGGCTCGCTGCCCAGGGCCACCTTGAGATGCTGGTCCCTGCACCACCACCCTGGCTGCTTTGGCTGCTCCAGCTGTAGCTAAATTGGCCCCAGTTGTGCCTGAACTTGTAGCTTCAGAAAAAACAAGCTAGAATCCCTGGTGGTGTCCACGTGGTGTTAAGTCTGCAGGCTTGCAGAATTCCAGAGCTGTGCATGCTTGGGAACCTCCACCTCAATTTTGAAGGATGTATAGGAAAATCTCAGGGCCCGGAAAGAGATCTATCACAGGGGCAGAGTCAACACATACAGCCTTTACTAGAGCAATGCTGAGCAGGAACATGGGGTGAGAGTTGCAGCAGAGAAACCCAACTAGTGCCATGCCTAGTGGAGCTGTGAAGACCACCAGGTAGAACCCAGGCTTGTGGAACTACCAGAGTGAAACACCAGCCTGGGAAAGCTGAGGCATGGCCCGAGACCAGGAAAGCCATACGAGCAGAGCTGCCCAAGGACTTGGGGACCCAACCCCCACACAAGCATGCAGAGGATGTTGAACATGGAGTCAAGGTACATGATTCACCAGCTTTGAAATTTAACGCATGTCCTGTTGGGTTTCAGACTTGCTTAGGACCTGTTACCCCTTTCTTTTGGCCTGTTTATCTTTTTGAACAGGAATATATGCCCTATGTTTGTCCCACCATTATATCTGGGAAGTAGATAACTTGTTTTAATTTCATAGATGAGACTTCGAACTTTGGACTTTTCAGTTGAAATGAGTTAAGACTTTGGGGATGGAATGAATGTACTTACCTGTGAAAAGGACATGAACTTTGGGGAGGCCAGGGATGGTATGCAGTGGATTGAATGGCTACCACCAAGGAAAACTTTCACCGGATGTGTTCCCTGAACTTTGGACTTCCCAGACTCAGAAACTATGAGCAATAAATTTTGTTTTCTTATAAATCACCCTGTTCCGGGTATCATGTTATAAGCAACAGACATGGACTAATACAGCTGGTTCTAATTCTGGCCTGCTGGGCGAGCTTGGGCAAGTCTCTTGCCTTCTCATAGCCTTGATTACCTTATCTGGAAAACAAAATATCTACCTCCTAAGAGGTGCTTTGAGGATTAAATGTGGGGTGAATATGAAGGGTTTGGCACTGACAATGTCAGGTGCTATGGCACATAGTAGGTGTTTCATCAAAACAGCTTCTTGGAGATGGGCCTGGGCAAGAGGTGGGGCAGACATCGTCCCGTGTCCTCCCCGTTATATATCAATGGGCTAGAAGTCATTTGGGCCCCAGATGACCCAGCCTAACTCCAGGCTGGACCCTGAGAGCCACCCCTCCCCCCACTGAGAAAGGGGGCTTGTAGCTTCCCTCACCCCATGCTCAGCTCCCAGCCCCTTCTGGTTCTGAATGCCTCAGTGGGCCAGGAGGTCCCCTGGAGTGGGGAGGCCGGAAAGGGACTTTTCTGATCTTATGAGACACAGTCTGGCTTTCTGGGAAGATGGAGGAAAAGCACATCACTCCTGAAATAATTGTCCTGGAGCTATTTTCAGCAGCTCTTAGTGCCCAGACCAGAAATGGCTAGTGATCTCGATGCCTGGGGTACCTTCAGGACAAACAGCCCAGAGGCCCGGCCCTCTAGCTGGCTACTCATCCACCCAGCCCCCAGCCCAGAGCTGAACCAAGCCCTGGCTCAGGCCCCACAGGGGAGCTGTCGACACCACTTCCCTGGTTCACTGAGCTCCCCCATGCTCCTCTTCCTCCTTCTGGGAAGCCCCTCAGATCCCTCTGCCTGGCCCCCTCTTCTAGTGATTAAAAGTGCCTGACCCCAGGCAAAAGGCCCTTCACTCTTAGTGATTGTGGAAGACCCGTGCAGGGGCTTCTATGCTAACATACTCTGTAATCCCAGATCTGGTCATGAGGAAACATCAGATAAACCCAAATTGGAGAACGTTCTCTAAAACTGGCCTGCATTCTTCAAAGATGTCAATGTCATAAAAGATAAAGAAAGGCTGAGAAATTATTCAAGGTTGAAGGAGACTAAGGAGATACGAGAACTAAATGTAGTGCCCGATCCCAAGCTGGATGCAGGATTAGAAAAACAGTTGCCATAGGGCCGAGCCCATGGCGCACTCGGGAGAGTGCGGTGCTGGGAGCACAGCAGCGCTCCCACCACGGGTTCGGATCCTATATAGGGATGGCCGGTTTGCTCACTGCGTGAGCGTGGTGCTGACAACACCAAGTCAAGGGTTAAGATCCCCTTACCGGTCATCTTTTTAAAAAGAAAAAAAAAAGAAAAACAGTTGCCATAAAGAACATTAGAGGGACAGTCAGTGACATTTGAATATGGTCTGTATATTAGAGCATAGCATTGTATCAATGTTAAGTAGCCTGGATTTGATTGTCGTAGTGTGAATATGTTAGAAGATGTTCTCCCAGCATGAGATACACTGAAGTAATCAGGCTGTCTGCAACTGACTCTCAAAACAACTGTGCGTGTGTGTGTGTGTGTGTGTGTGTGTGTGTGTGTGTGTGTGTGTATGGAGTGATAAATGTGGCAAAAATGTTAATAATTAGTGGCTTTGAATGAAGAGCATATGGAAGTTCATTGTCTTATAAGTTTTTGGTAATTTTCAAAATTTTTCAAAATAAAAAATAAAACTGTATATTCAACATTTGAGGGAAGAAAATGACAGAATTTTTTCCTGGCAAGTACCACGAGACCTCAAAGGAGAATTCTGCTCATTCACTCAACACATATGTTCTGGATGCCCCCTACTGACCAGGCCCCAACAACGGGCATGGGGTTCTGAGAGGAGCACTGAGATCTGCTCCCCGAAGAGCCCTCAGGCTCTAGCCAGAGCCCAGCACATAGTGGAATTGTTGACTACATGGTGGAGAAAAGAGAAGGGAGGAAAGAAGTTGCCGTTATGCCCAATAGTGGGTCCTCTAAAGGGACAGCCCTTGAAGAAGACTCCATAGCTGTTTGCCGACTCAGTGAGAAAAGAGACTGACGCTGACCACAGCAAACAGGAGTTATATTTGAGCTACCACAGAACGTCCTGGCTCTCAGTGTAATTAAACACAAGAAAAGCAACAAGGAACACTGGAAAATGGCCACCCCAGCCTCATTTCAAAAATAGGGCCCATCTGTCCTGGCAGGCTTAAAGTGGCTCTGGCACTGAGGCAGGGGCCTGACCAGGATGACCCCTGGAGGCTCCTCCCAGCTCCAGGATTCCATGATTCTATGACATGGCCAGCAGTCTGGAGTGGTGGCATGAGGGTACCCCCAGTGGAGAGCAAGAGGTCTAAGTCATCTACCTCCTAAAAGAGTGAGAGGGGAGGGCTCTATGGCAAATGCAGCCCAGACAGAAGGGAAGGGCGGGCCCCGCGGGGTCAGCACTCAGTCCTCTTATTTTGCCCCAGGAAGGGATGGGGTGGGGTTGGACCAGGGAGGGACGAGGCAAGGGTCTGGACATTCCACCCATTTCAGACTCAAAGGACAAGGGCAGCTGAGGGGCTGTAGGCTGGGAGAGGGCAGGCAGCTGTTTTCTGGGCGGGATGGGCTCAAATACAGTTCTGTCTTCACTAGGCAGACGTGAAAAATTAGCATCAAGCTGGCAGTGGTGGGGAGAGAAGTCAGAGCCTTCCTTCTGGCTGAGAGTGGGGTGGAGTGAGTATTGGGGAGCCAAGAGATGGTGGGGACAACAGGGACTACCCTGTCTTTGGGACCCAGGCAGGCCCAGGGACAGGAGGTGGGATTAAATGGACTGGGCATCTCTTTGGCCTGGTCGAGTCTTAGTCTCCATAAAGTGCCGACGTTTGGGCCAGGAAGAATGGGAACCCCAATGCTCCCTCCTCTCGTGGGGTGCATGAGGAAATCCCCTACTGTCAGAGAGGACCAAGACCCAATTCCTGAAGGGTTCTGATCTCACAAGTTCAGCTCCCTTAGTAGATTTGTTGTAACACCTCCCCCACCCTTGTTTGGGGTTCTTAGAGTCAGGATCAACTTATTGTGTGTTAGCTAGTATCTCTCTCCACCCAGCTTCTCCCCACAAGCGCCCCCACCACACCCAGAAGGTGTGGTGAGAATTCATCCTTGACAGACTGTGAGGGAGGCCAAGGTCACCCTTATGACATAACATTGTCTGGGGTCATCAGACCCACCCAGGATGCTACCTCGGCCCCACCACTTACAAGCTGTGTGATCCTAGGTGTGTCACATCATCTCTGAGCCTCAGTTTCCCCCATCTGTCAACTAGGAATAGAACAGTAACCACCTCCTTGATTTGTAGTGAGAATAAATGAGTTAATCTGTGGAAGACACACAGAAAAGGGCTGGGTACACAGGGTGTATATATACATATATATGAGGGTACTTCAAAAAGTTCATGGAAAGATTTGTATTCTTTTCATTCTGTTTTACTAAACTTTTTGAAGTAGCCTCATGTATGGTGTCAATGCAATATTTTGTCCTTGGCATTTGTGGTCTTCTGGAGTCCTTGCTTCAGAGAGGAATTGGGAATTTGAGAATTTGGGCTAGAGCTGAAAAAAAGTGAAGACACTGCCTGCGTTTCTCGGAGGCTCTTTGGTCTTGACTGTTCTGAGGGTCTTGCCTTCCTCCCCATCTCTTACTTTTTGTGCTCTCTGAAGAAGAAGGTGTCAGTTTTCCAGTTTGAGAATCCCTGGGCCTGACAGGCAGAAGGAGAGAGGGAGCCAGGGTAGTGCTGGCCCTTGGGGGGCAAAGGGAACACCTGGAGAGAAAGTCTGGAGGGAGGTGGCAGGGAGCTCTGGTGAGCTGACCCAACTCCCTCCATGCCAGGCCCAGGTAACCAGCTCTCAGCTCAGCCACAAAGCTTTATCCGCCCTGCTGGGATGATGTCTGGACACCAGGTGAGCCGTTCCAACCCTTACAGCTGTTTGAGCCATCCCAACAATGTGTCCTTTCCAGCCCGAACTCCAGGCTGGACCCAGTGCCCCAGGCTGAATGGGGTTAACAGCCTCAAGCGTCCCCGCATCCCTAATGGGAATGGTTCGGAGTTCAGCAGCTACAGAGGCCACTTGGAGCAGCCTTTCAACCCCAGCTCCCCCAGACTTCCACTGCAGAGAATCTGCATGGGCCGGCCCTACAACTCCAAGTGCGTAGAGACAAGTCATCTGGCGAACAACCCCAAGGTGGCCAGAAAGCCTGCTTGTCATGGCAGCCCCCACTGCCTGCTCTGTACAGACCGTCCCTCAGACCCCTCCAGCCCCACCTTCCTGGACCACATCATCAAAGGCATCAATTACCTGGACCGATCTGCCAGTGCCTTCTGCAACAACTACCCCAAAACCTCACTAAGCGCGCCAAGGCGTACAGCCAACTATCTGGAACGAGCCACCAACTCCCTCAACCTGGACAACCTGTACCCCTGTAGGCCCCACAGTTACTCCATCCCCAGAGCCAACATGGCTACCTCTGACAAGCCCGCGCCAAGGCGTACAGCCAACTATCTGGAACGAGCCACCAACTCCCTCAACCTGGACAACCTGGACCCCTGTAGGCCCCACAGTTACTCCATCCCCAGAGCCAACATGGCTACCTCTGACAAGCCCACCAACAGCACCTGCATGGTGACATCCACCAGGGGTGCCAGTGCTTTGGAGTGCCTGGATGACCCTACCATCACAAGTTGCCTGCGCCGGCCTCAGTGCCGGAACCTCAACCCCACGCTGCCACAGAGGCCAGGTGTAAAGTTGCCTGAGATCCCCTTGTTCGGCAATGGGCTCTTTTCCTTAGGAAGTCTGCCCAAGTTCTGGGAAGCAATACGTTCAGGCTGGAGAGCCCCTGAACCCAACTCCAAACCCTCTAGCTGGTGGTGACGTTGATGCCAACTGTGAAACGGGCACATGTCCATCAGGCCACAGTTGCGCAAAATAAATTGTCTGTGGCAAAATGCTCCATCCAAGGCTTTGTTGGGGGGAACTGGCCATTTTGATTGGGGGATACAAACTCAAGGGCCTCCAAGGCTAGACAGGTAAAATAGTTAAGTGAGTGAATTCAGCCGTGTGACAGCAGGAAGTGGTGGAGACTGTGACTAAGTGAAGAGAGACTACCTAGTCTAAACCCAGCTCTCAAAGGGGTTGTCATCTTTACAAGAGAAGCCAGAGATGTGATTTTTGTATGTTAGCAACAAATTCAAAAATGTCACGGTGCTCTGTTGGCTGAACAAATACTTGCAGGCTGAATGTGCAGCCCACAGGCCTCTTTGGAATCTCTGGTTTACATCTTGAATGGATCACTGTGAAGGTACCTAGCCTCCCTGAGCCTTGGTTTCCCCATGTGAAGAAACAGACTAGTTGTTCATTCCCAATTCCTATCTGTACCTCTCCAGGAATGTAAATTTTAGCACAGTCCCATGTGAACAGAAAGGTAGAAATAATAATGAGAATAAACTCTCAGTATTTATGTGGCAGGAACTGTTCCAAGTACTTTACACATATTCTTTTAAAGATGTGATTTTATAGGGCCAGCCCGTGGCTCACTTGGGAGAGTGCAGTGCTGGTAACACCAGCGTCACGGGTTCAGATTCCTATATAGGGGTGGCCAGTTAGCTCACTTGGGAGAGTGTGGTGCTGACAGCACCAAGTCGGGTTAAGATCCCCTTACCAGTCATCTTTAAAAAAAAAAATGTGATTTTACGACTAGGGCTTAGGGTAGATATAGAGAACCTTTCTGATGGCTAGTGTGATAGGCATTGCAACAGGCAACCAGGGATAGTCACAGGTGGGGAGATGACCCTTCATGGGAAATCTCTGAAGAATCATTCTGTCCAGGCCAGGTGAGGGGGCTGGAAGGTCAGAATGAGGTGGTTCCTTTCTCCCACTATCCTGAATTTCTTGATGAGAATGTCTGGGAAAATGTTTCTTGGACCACCAAGCGCTCTAAACCTTCAGAGATCCAACTGATTCTAGTGCTGAAAAATCAGGCCCCACAAGGCACCCAGCTACCTGCCATCCTGCTACCCAGGCCAGTTTTGCAATGAGCCTTCCCTAAGACCTTGGATACATCACTCCTCCTGCTCCCCTGGGTCTCTGTTTCCCCATCTGTAACATGGGTGCCAGAGCATTGATCTCTAAGGACCTCCTTGACTCTGTTTCTGAGTGTCTCCTCCTGGGCCAGGCCTGGAGCCTTCCAAGCTGAGAATTGAGAGTGCCCCACCGGAGAACTCAGGCCTCCTGAATCCTGAGCCACCTCCCTGGGCTGCCCAGGGACTGTTCCAGTCCTCCAGGCTCATTTCTGTGTATTATAAACTTCTCACCCAGTCCCTTATTGCTGGAGCTCTCCTGGTCACCTTGGCAATGTGAAGGCCAATAGCAGCTCAGGGTGTAGAATGGAGCTGATCTTGAGATAATGCAGAACTTGAAGGCCCAGTAGTTTCCATGGCGCTTGGAAACAGCGGCCTGCTGTGGCCTAGCCCCTATGGCCAAGCAGAGAAGGTGACAAGCCTGAGTATCCCCACCATGAGTTAGCTGTGGTTGTCCCAGGTCAGGAGGAGGGAAGGGGTGCCAAATCTCTGGGCTGTTGAATTCAGCCCCACTTCTATTCCATCTCCAGAAGACAAGGGAAGCCTCCCTTAGCCCAAAGCTCAGCAAGCAGCACACTCCTTTCTCTGTCTTTTGCATCCCTCCCTCCCCAGGGAGATTTTGGCCTTAGTCTGATAGGTCTTCGCCCCTCCAATGACCTGGTCCCCACGTGAACATTTACAGAGACACAGCTTGTTAGAATCCATCGTGGCCCAGCTGAAGAGGGAGTTCAAGTGTGTCCTGACTTCCAAACGCCCTGTCTGGCCACTCAAAGTTGTCCCCTTCCTGCTCAAGGTCTAAATCTGCCTGTCTCTTTGAGGCACAAGAGCTGTCTTCCCCAGACTCTCCTGGAGATTCCAACCCTCAAAATGGTCCAATTTCCCCCAATTAGAGAGCAAGACCCTTTGCTTAAGGCACAGCTCTTGAGGTCTCCAGCATCTAGCCCAGTTCTGGCTCATGATAGGGACTCAATTATTGTTGATTACAGGGCCTTGTGTCCAAGATGCTCAGTAATGGTAACTACGTTATCCTAAGGATGATTACAGTGTCTCATGCAGTGAATATTTAATAACTAATATTAATGACAGCCAACATTCATTAAGCTCTCCACTGTATGCTAGGCATTGTTTTAAGTGCTTTGTATGTGTTAACTCACTTAATCCTCATATCAACTCTTTAAGGAAGGTACTATCATCCCTATTTTACATATGAGGAAACTGAGGCACAGAGAAGTCAGGTATAAGTGATTACGATAAAGATGATTAATGTGTATAGAACACAGTGACTGTTCAAAAGATGGTTGGCATTGTCATTATAACGTATATGCAGACTAGGAACTCACTGATAATAATTATTTTCATGATTATAGCAGCTTGCAAGTAGTAGGTGCTTTGCAGATGCACACAATGGGTGCTCAATGAGTGGTAAATGTCATTATAGAGCCTAGTACATAGTAGGTGCTCAAATGAGGTTTGTCCATCAGTTGGGGATTGGATTGTACCCTATAGGGAAGGGATCTCCACCCTTGGCCCAAACTCAGGACAGATACTGCTCACAAATATCTTCTATAAGTTACTCAGCCTGAGTCCGAAGAAAATAAGCTAGTTAGAGAAGGTCTTCTATTCCATGTGGCCATGTAAAGGCCACAGGAAGTTCCCGTGTCCATAGTTCAAGCCATGAATCTGCAGGGTCCATGTAAACAGGAAGTAGCGTGCTGGCTCAGAACAATACCACAGCCTGCTGTGCTGTCCTCCCTGTGTACAGAAGCATCCTAGGTGTCCCTGTGGCTGGGAGTGGCTGAGGAAAGCCCTTCACACCTGCAGAAGTATGTCGTGGCTCATTGAATACTCACCCTGTGTGCCAGGCACGCTGCCAAGGCCTGAAACATAGACTCTCAACCCTCTCTACCCTGCCAGGCTAAGTTTTAGTACCCTATTTTGCAGAGGGGAAAACTGAGGATCAGAGAGAGAAAGTGACTTGCCCAACATCCTGAACCTGGTAAGTTGCAGAGCTGAGATTCCACCTCAGGGCTCTGACCCTCAACCAATGCCCTTTCCATCCAAAGTGTAATTTCTTGGTATTTATTGAATGGATTCCAAGAGAAGTAGAGGTAAATCAGGGCCTCCAAAATATGCAGTAAATTAGACAAAGCAAGGATGGATTTAGCCTGGGGTTTGGGCTGCCCCTTAACACCAGTGTTCTGAGCAGGCAAGGGACACACTCATCCCAATTCTGACCCTTGATCCTCCCCTAACCTTTCTTTATCTCTGAACCTAATGCTCCAAGCCTCAGCCCACCCCGTGCCTCACCCCATTCTTGAGCCCCACTTTATCCCTTACTGTCTTTTCTGCCTACACAGGACTCGTCCTGCTTCCTCTACATAGGAAACATAAAACTAGGAGTGGTGGCACCCTCACCGCCACCCCAAATTGCATCCATGCTGTCCTCTTCTCAGTTGAAATCTGCAAGAGGAGCAAAGAGCCTCAGCCATGTGCTGTGCCTGAGTTGGTACCACCATTTTTGGCAAACTCTTTAACAGCATCCTGGACCCCTCCCAACAGGGCAGGAATTTCTGGTGAACAATTGAACAAAGCCGGGAACTCAGAGGGAGAACTCACAGGACATTCCAAAAGGATTTCTCTCAAGCTCCAAAAGACAACAGTGGGAACATTGCAGAAAGCTCATGGCTGAGCAAAGAAAATCATGAAAGGGACGGAAAATCTGCCCAGTAGGAAGGGCAGAGCAGGCTGGAGGAAGGAAAAAGGGCCCTGGGGTCAGGAGGCCTGGGTGGGAGGCCTCCCTCTGCCACTTGTATCCCTGCAGAGGCTACTCCACCTCTCTGGCCTCAGATTTGTGGTCCTTAAAAACTGAGGAGCTGCAAAAGTAAACACACCGATCCGTATATAACTGTTCATAGCAATGCTTTGTTAATAACAAAGACCTGGAAACAGCCCAATTATCCAACAACAGGATAGGACTAATGAACTATGGTGTTGATGAGACATAGTACCAAATTATTACTAGAAATATTCTGTGCAAAAGGAATGTCGGTGTTATTTAAAGTAGCTGGTCCACAAATTGTTAATGGTTACTGTCTGCAATTAAGAGCTTGTACCAGAATATAAATCTATACGCTGCTTCCGATATGGAACAAGTATTGCTAGAAAAAAGCCAGTTGAGCTAAACAGCATGCTTAGTGACACAGTTGATTTACGCTCTGGGAGCAAGCTCCTTATCTCAGACTGGTAATAAACAGTCTAGGGACTGGCACTGGTCCACAGATCCGTTTTTAAGTCACCCTGGTCTTTACTGAGACATAGGACTGTGCTTATATATAAAAAAAAAAAAATGTTAAGTGAGAAAAGTAAGACATGACGTATATACTGATCACAATGAGGTGAAATGCATATGTCTACGTTGATGAGGGAAGGGAAATGAACATTTGTGGAGCTCCAACTACAGGCCCCACACAGAAATCTTCTAAGCTGAAGCGGGGGCTTCTGGGGAGGGATGTGGGGGTATATGGAGGCCACAGGAATTCCAGCCTGACTAGAGGGGAGTAGTGGGGGCAGGGGCTGGCACGAGTGACAAATTCAAATCAAAGACCATTTGCCTTGGGTTGAATGTCCCCTCAAAACTTAATCCCCACTGTAACTGTTGAGGGTGGGAAATCCTATTATGGTAATTGAAGAGGTGATTAGATTGTAAGACCGTGCTGTAGTGAATGGATTAAAAATGGTGGTGATGGGTGTGGTTTGGAGGGCTTTAAAAGGAGAGTGAGTGAAGAGGTTAATTTC